GGAACCCCCTTCTGAAGGCTTCTTAAATGGAAGATTTTTGCACCTCCTCCCCCAAGAACGAAGCGATTTCCATTCCTGCCCAGCGACACTCGTAGCCCCCCCGAAGGCCCAGCCTGAAGAGCTGTGTCACCCAGTGGAGGAGCGACGGGACAAGGTCAGCGTGCTGCACGGCATCACAGGCTGAGGGGAGATGGGCAGGGCCTTCCCAGAGACACAACAGCTGGGAGAACCCCAGAGCCCGGCCAGCAGAGACACAGCCAGCACCCATCCCTGGCGTACCGGTAAGTGCAACCTCTGGGGAAGGTGAAGGATGGAAGCTGGTGCCTCTGGCACCAAGAGGAAGGCTCCTGCTCCACCTAAAAGCTTACAACTACAAAAGAAGTTCCCCACCCTCAAGGCTGAGGAGGAGCTAGATATGCTTTCAAGTAGATCATGTGGGCCCCCCAACCTTAAGTCATGTAAGACCCCCAGGAGGAAGCAGCAAGTGGCAGTGGTGGGTGACTCCTTGCTGCTGGGGACAGAGGCACCTATCTGCCCACCTGACTGGTCATCTAGAGACATTTGCTGCTTGCTGGAAACCTAGATCTAGGGTGTCCTGGAGGGACCACAAGACTTATCCAACCCTTCGACTGTTATCTGCTACTTCTGTGTGGGCACCAATGATACCACCAGGGCCACCTGGAAAATATCAAAAGTGACTACAGAGCTCAGGTGGGGGAAGATAGTTAAAGCAAGAAAGTTATTTGATGTTCAAGGATCACCTCCTCCAAGCTCAAGAACAGTCCATCCCAACAAGCATCCCAAGTCAGGCAAAAATGCCAGCAGGCCTATGTAGATGAGCAAGGAGCACCTGACCAACCTCAAACACAAGGAGGAAGCATACAGAAGGTGGAAGCAGGGACAAGTAACCTGGCAGGAATACAGGAGCACTCTCCCAGCATGCAAGGATGAAGGTAGGAAAACCAAAGCCCAACTGGAATCAGATCTGGCCAGGGATGTCAGAGACAACAAGAAAAGCTTCTATAAGCACATAGGTGCTTATAGAAGTAGGAAGGCTTCTATAAGGAGTAAAGGAAGACCAGGGAACATGTGGACCTGTTGCTGAATGAGGCAGAAGACCCCAGAAACCAGAAGAAAGTCTGGAGGAAGGAGGATACACCCTTGATGGAAGAGGATGAGGTCAGAGAATACTTAAGCAACCTAGACCTACATAAATCCCTGGACTTTGATTGGACACAACCATAAGTGCTGAAGGAGGTGGCTAAAATCACAGCAAGGCCACTCCCCATCATCTTTGAACAATCCCAGCAATTGGGAGAGGTGCCCAAAGACTGGAGGAAAGCAAGTGTCACTCCTATCTTGAAGAAGTTCAAGAAGGAAGACCTGGCCTGTCAGCCTCCCTTCAATCCTTGGGAAAGTGATGGAGTATCTAATCCAAGGAGCCATTTCCAACACATGAAGGACAAGAAAATCATCAGGAGTAATGAGCATGTCTTCACCAAGAGGAAATCATGCTGGACCAACCTGATGAGCTTCTGCGATGAGATCAGTGGCTTGGTAGATGAGGGGAGAGCAGTGGATATTGTCTACCTGGACTTCAGTAAGGCTTTCAACACTGTTGCCTCTAACAACCTTCTAGAACAGCTATGAAGGATGAGGTGGGTTGAAAACAGCCAGGCTCAGAGGGTCATGAGGAGTGGCGTGGAGTCTTGTTGGAGGCTAGTAACTAGTCATGTACACCAGGGGTCAATACTGGGTCCAATCCTGTTTCAACATCTTTATTAGTGATCTGAAAGTTTGCAGATGACACAGAACTAGGAAGAGTGGCTGATACACCAGAGGGTTACGCTGCCGTCGAGAAGGACCTCAACAGGCCAGAGAAGTGGGCTGGCAGCAACCTCATGAGATTCAACAAGAGGATGTGCAAAGTTTTGCACCTGTGGAAGAACAGCCCCCTGCATTGGTCCGTGTTAAGGGTCACCCAACTCTTAAGCAGCTTGGCAGAGAAGGATCTGAGGGTTACGGTAGACTCGGCGTTGAACAGGAGCCAGCGGTGAGCTGGTCACGAGGGCAGCCAGCTGCAGCCTGGACTGCATGAGGAGTGTCACCAGCAGGTCGAGGGCACAGATCCTTCCCCTCTACTCATCGCTGGTGAAGCCACACGTGGAGCACTGTGCCCACTTCTGGGCTTCCCAGGACAAGAGAGATGGAGCTACTAGAAATACGCCAGCAAAGGGCTGCTAAAATGATGAAGGGTCTGGTGCACCTCTTGTATAACCCAAGGCCAAGAGAGCTAGGACTGTTTAGCCTGGAGAAGAGAAGGCTCAGGGGGACCTTACCAATGTGCACAAGTACCTGAAGGGAAGATGTAAACAGTGCCAGACTCTTCTCAGTGGTGTCTAGGGGACAGGATAAGAGCCAACAGGCCCAGACTTCAACACAGGAGGTTCCATTGGAACTTTAGGGAACTTTTTTTTTAAACTGTGAAAACTGTAAAAAAACTGGAAGAAGTTGCCCAAAAAGACTGGGGAAACTCCATCCCTGGAGCTATTAAGAGACATCTGGACTTGGTCCTGGGCAACTGGCTCTAGATGACCCTGCTTGAGCAGGGGGATGGACTAGATGACCTCCAGAGATCCCTTCCAACCTCACCGATTCAGTGATTTTGTGATCCTGTAATACAAACCCAGATATTTTATACATCAGAAATTCCCTCTTGAAAGCCTTTCCATCGGGGCTCCTTGTGTGCAGGAGGGGAGGGACACCCACCAGTTGACCACCTGTTACCTCCATGAGTCTTTACCCATTCAAAAACTTACCTCTGGATCTCAAACACTTGGAGGGGGGAGAAAATAGGCAAAAAAAAAAACTTCTTCACACCAATTTTACTTTTCACCCTGATCCCTCCTGACATTATCAGGGCTGCAAATCAGGTACACCAGGAGACAGTAAGAACCTGGGCTTGCAGCATGGTTCAGCGTGAGCATTAAGACATTGCCCTGAATAAAGCCACGAGGCATCATGATATCAAGGCTTGCCAAGAGGGCACGTCTGGTGGATGTGGACAGTAAACATTTCCCTTTGATTGGTTTTACTCAAAGTTTAATCAAATGAGGATGAGAGGAAAGTGTGTTACCTTGACTGGGTACCCACCTACAGTCTGGCTTCCTGCAACACCGTCCCCTTAACCGGAGGCAGCTTTTGGGCAGAGGTGGCCTGGTTGACCTTATTACTGTCTGAGGTCTTTTTATTGCTACTCCAGAACAAATAGCATTTTTCCTAGAAGACAATCAGGCTAGTTTATGGTGCACTTGGACATGAATTCCACAAGGGTTCCAATCTTAGGAGGAGATTTTAAATCACTGGTTAACTAGAATCTATTTATTAATGAAGATTGCAAAATTTAGGTTGAACTAAGGCCTACGGAAGATTGGGGTCAGTGCCAAGCCAGTTTTAAAATAGTCTGTTTGCCTTTAAAAGGTGTCACCACACAGGCTTTAGGTCATGTCAGCAGAGGAGAGTGACAACACTGCATCTGGGCATGTTTTATGCTTGCAGAATATTCCACATTGTAGAACTGCAGGTCCAACAGATGATTTCAAACTGGCTCCACTATAAACTAGACTAAGATTTAAGTGTTTCACAGTACCTTGTCTGGACTGGGTTTAGAGCACACTGCTCCCTCCAGAAGCCAGAGGCACACAAGATACTCCAGGAAGGAGCCGGGTTCAGGGAGACCTTCACGCTGGCAGACACGTGAAGGTGCAGACAGTGTCCCCTCTGACATGGGCTGTGACTTCAAGAGGGAGGACTGTGCGTGGTGATTCAGCAATCATCGCTAGATCAGCAACGCTTCAATCAAATGAGGAACACACCTTGGCTGCAAATCCCCATCTTCCAGTTTACTGCTCTGATCTATTCATTAAGCAGAGATTTTCATGTGTTGTTGCACACCTTCCTTAGGGATTTACAAGGTCATTGAGGCTTTTCAATCACTTTCCAGGTAGTCAGGCATTTCCTGCTGTTGATTTTCAGTTCTAGCACTTTGTGACACTTTTGGCTGAGCACCCCCATACAGCTGGCTTACACCTGGGTTTGGGACACGCCGATATTCAGTCGACTTGAGTGAATTTCAAACCCAGCTTTTCTTCCCTCTGGCACGGTTAAGGCTCCTTGATACCAGGACTTAAGACTTGCACAAAGCAGGGTGAGGAAATTCCAGCCCAGGGCTATGCAGGATCTTAGAAAGAGCTGCCCAGCAACTAACAACACGTCTCAGGTATGCAGCAGAGTGAAGCCCGTTTGCCAGCGACCACTTGCATTTGCTGGAGCCAAAAGGCTGAGCACACAAAGCCCGACCCCCTCGGGAGCACAGGCAGGGTCTAACGCCCAGCCCTCGGCCCCAGCATCGCTCCCACCCTGCCAGGAAGTGCGTGGAGGAACAAAAGGATTTGGGATCATGTGTTTAAGTCAATTAAGCAGTTGTAGGCTTGGTTAGAATCCAGTTACGTGATACTCTGAGAACCCTGCTGCTGTTTAAAGTGGGTTTGCAGTAGTGTTTCAGCAGAGGCAGCTGCAGGAGGTGGAGCACACGCAGCCCCTCGCACGTGCTCTCCCCTTGGCCTGCTCTCATCCTCAGCATTGCCTGTTTATCCCCACAAGTAGCCTCTTCACTTCTGTAGCTTTAGAGCCAGCTCGAGCCATTTGACTGTAGTGTAAAACTCAGTAAGCTTACTTTGATATAGGTTAGGCTAGAGAGCTAGGTCTCTGCTTCAAGAGCTGAAGCATTTAGGGAGCTGAGTGTTGTCAGATGAGTGTCTTGGAGCCAGAGCCACATAACTCCATCGAGTGTTTTAGCTGTTGTATGTTCTGTCCTTACAGCCCTGATCAGACCCACGGGCCAGCCAGGCACCCTCACTGCCCACCCCACCATGGGCCAACTTCTCCCCAGATGCCAGCTCCCCACAGGCTTCAAAACACCTTTTGCTTCTCAGTAAGCCCAGATCCACAAAGGCCCTGAAGGTTTTACTTCCAGAGCTCTTTGGAGTAGTTTGCAGAGAACCCAAAGGAGTTTCAGGGGAAGAGAGAGTCCAGTCTGGGTTGAGAAGTGGCCACAGTGTCTGTGCCCCTTCTGCAGTAACACAGCGACTGCATTTCAGTTGTGGAGAAGCTGTGCTCAAGTAGCTCCATCCCCTCGAGCAGGCTCTGTTCAGGTTAAAAAACTGCTGGGGCCCTGCAGAGATGCACAGATCTGGTCAATGGCTCAGACCTGCTGCTTTCTATAGAGGCTGAGTTGATGAGCTAGGCTTGTTCTTTCATTAACTGGAGGAGCTGGGAAATACCTCCTCCAATGGGAACCCACTTCCATCACTTGTGCACTGAGAAGGCCAGAAGTGCTTTTATGTTACCTATCTGCAGCCTGATTTCTAGATGGCTGAGGAAGTCCTGCTGCTTTGTGCTGGCACCATTAGGACATCATTCATGGCATCAGCCAATGTTTCCTCAGGAGCGTTAGATTGTCAGCTCAATCTGCATCATCTGATTAAGTCTGATTTGACCAACAGCATTTCCCATCAGACATCTGCAAGCTCTTACCTGACTCGTGGCCATGAGTACAGCTGCTGAGATAATGAGTGGGACACCCAGCCCAAGGAAGATATACTGCAGGTAGTCCAGCAGGGATGGGATCAGCACCAGGTTGGTGTAAAACTGCTGCAGGACGGAGCCTTCGATGGATCCGCTCTGCTCAAAAGAACCAAAGTTAGCAGTGGAGTTCCCTCCCCACCAGGGCTGAGACAGACCAGCTGCCCAACTACTCTCCCACCACAGCCCAGCAGAGATGAGGGAATTTATGCAAGATTTGGTCAGGCTAGCAGGCTAAATAGCTGGAGTCAGTGGGGCAGGCACAGAGGGGAGTCTGCACTCCCTGGCCCACATTCACAGGGGGATGCTGGCAGCTCTGTCCTGGGCCCTATTTAACCTCACAGCTAGGACAGAGCCAGAGGTTTACTGAGTATAGTGCAGGGTTTGTTCAGCTCAGAGGGATTAATGACAGAGCCAAGTACTGCAAAGCCTTCTGTTGGTGCTTAATTAGTCTGTCTGGCTTAAAGCTTTGTGCAAAGTGGAGTTTCCCCAGCACTAGGTGATGGAGAAGCAGTGCCCCCCTCCCACAGAGGACATTCTGCAGAACCACACCAAGGAAGGCAGCTCACCTCTGCAAACCACAGCAGCGGCAGGACCACTGGGTTAATCTTCCCTGTTTGACTAGGGAGGGAAGAAAGAGGGAAAAAAAGAAAAGAAAAGAAAAAAAGACTTAGATTTCTAGTTGATAAGGACACAATTAATGCCATAATTCTTCTTAAAGGGAGGGGTCTGACAGACTGTTAGTGGCCAGGAACCCAGTGTAAGGTGGTAGCAATTCCAAAAAAAAGCAATCCCTGCTGCTTCAGTGAGCTGCTCTCACTTTTAGGGACCAGGTCCAGCCCGGGCCTTTCATGCCAGATCAGAGCTTAAGCTTCCACTCATGTTTAACTGCCTGACAGCAGTTAGTGCCATCCCAAATCTGGGCTCAGGGTCACGAACTCAGTGAGCTGGAATGCTAAAATTCATGCAGCTCCAAGACATCTGTCACCTGCATGGTACCAGGGGGTGGTGCAGCCAGTGGACAGCATCAGGGCTGTCTGCTGCTGTGTGCACTAGAGCCAGTCCCAGCAGCAAGAGCACACTCCCACCCGTGTGGATATTCAACATCTGGCACCACACAGCTTTGTTACAGAGCCTGTTTGCTTCAGTTGAGCTGGAAGTGCCTTTTTGGACACAAGCTTCAACTGTCAACCCTGTAGGCAGAGTGTCTTCTGCCTCTCCGTGTTGATGTAACAGCTTCTGAGCAGCAGCACAGGGCAGGGGAGCTGCTCCTGCAGCTCACCAGGAGGAGCAGTCTGACCATGGGCTGTCTGGTCAGGAGCAGGAACGCTGCAGGAGCCCAGCAAAGGGGCAGCCACAGGCTGAACTGCTGAAGGATGGCAGCTGGAGGTCACTGCAATAGCTGACATTCCACCACACACGCCAGCTGGCTTCTGCAACCACAACAACTGGTACTGTTAGAGCTGCTTCATCTCTGGGGAGAGGAGAGACTGCAGTGATCCCAGCATCAGCAGCACTCCCTGCTCAAGGGAAGGAGATGGACAGCTCTAAAAGGGGACTACTTACACTATACCAGGCACATGCTTTATGTACAGATTCAGCTGGAGCTTGATGGAGCAGTTGATGGGGATGCCCGTCATCTGCACAGAAAGAGACCAACCAGTTCATCAGTAAAGACAACACTTGTCTGAAGAGCTTCCAGGCAGAGCAACACTTTGTTTTCCATCCTAGGTGCTGTGGGTGCTACCTTCCAGCAGCAGGATGGAAACACATCCATGCATGCAGCAGAGGACAAGACATTTCTCATAACTAGGAATCAACACCCTAAGACCATGAAAACACCACACTTCCAGGTTGGTCTTGCTGATATAAGGTCCTGCATCATGGCAGAGGGGTTGGAACTGGGTGATCCTTGTGGTCCCTTCAACCCTGACAGACTGATTCTGTTTTAGCAGAGGACTTAGTAGTGTTGGCTTGATGATCTTAAAGGTCTCTTCCAACCTTAAGGATTCTATGACACCAAATAAGTCATTGGTTTCTCGTGACATGGCAGTTTTGCAACACACGATGGGCAGAAAACTTTTATTGGATTGCCTCTGTTTGTACTCAGCAGGCTGCAGCTAGACAGGAATATAGTTAATTGTACTCTTATCAGTAGATGTTTGATACTGTAATAAACTTAATTAGATTTCTGTAACTGCGATAAGAAAAGCAAGAGAACCCAATGCCTAGACAAGAAGTACAGCTTACTTTATCTCAAAAGGGGAATTGCTTTATTGCTTGAACAAACATCACTGAATATTTGAAAGATCTGATCACATGCAACACAGGCCATGGGTGGAAGATCCCAAAGCCCCCTCCCCATCTACAGCTGGGACAACGATGGCTCAGGACACCCAGCTCCTCATCACTGAAGTGGTGACTCCACCCTTATGCTGTAGGTATGCAAGAAGTGCACAGCAGCAGGGCAGTGCAAAAGCAGTTAGGTGGGCAGGTTGAGAGCCTGGAAGAAGCCAGCCTAAAAATAGTGGTGGCAGCTCCAGCTCCAGCGTGGTCTTCAGACCTGGCCAGGCAGCTCTCAGGACAACACACGTTTGCAGATTTGGGGCGTAACTGGGCTGCTGCTAGATACACCTCCTGGTGTTATAGACCTGAGTCAGTGGAAAGGGCTTGATTGTGCTTATCAAAACAATTATGCTTATAATTAGTTCTGCAATTCTCTAGAATTATCCAATTAGTTTATGGCTTTGACATTTTTATCGTGTCCTTGCCAGTCTTTGCACTATGGAACCTGCTCAGTCAGTGCCACGAGAACAGAGCGAGGCCACCACGGAGCCGGTGGCAGGTTCCACCACCCAGCTCGGGCAGGACCCCGGGGGTTAGGGGAGGACCTGGGGGGCCAGGGGAGGACCTGGGGGGCCCCACTCACCGGGTGCACGTCCAGGAAGAGCGCGTGCTGCTCCTTGCTGGGGTGCAGACCTTCGACAGCGTTCACCAGGGCTGGGTCAGCATTGTAGAAGTGAGGATGGGAAATGAATATCGGGGCATCTGGACGAGAACAAAGACACCTTTGGTGCACCCAAAGCCACCTGAGGCTTTTTCTTTAGGTTTTTAAACCATTACAGCACTTGTTCTGCACAAGCTTTCATACTTGTCTCCTCCCAGCCAGAAAGCTCCATCTCCTCCCTCCTTGCAGCTTACTCCCTTACTCTGGGAGGGTTGAGAAGAGGTGTCTAAGCCCCTGCTGCCCCCATGCAATGCCATGGTAACTCGCCAGACCCAGGCACGGGTTAGGACACTGAGTGTGAATTCTCACTCCTGCCTGACCCACGCTCAGCATCCAAAGCTGCCACATAACTGGGCAGCTGGGTGGCTCCTCAGCCTGGGGGACACGACGTCCCCGCTGTATCCCTGGGCATTCCCAGCAACACCAGGCTGTCATTGGGCTGTGGACCCAGGGGACTTGGGGCACAAGGATCTTCCAGCCTTGCTGAGATGAGTGCAGGGGTGCAAGCCAGGCTGCCCTGCAACAGCCCCCGGCAGTGCCTCGCAGCACCCTGACGGAGCAGGGCCAACTCCCCAGCCAGCCAAGCTCTCACCACATCCACACGGGTCACTACTGCTGGAGCAGAGCCCTGGCAGGCAAGCACTTACTGAACCTGCAGGTGCTGACGTTCTGGATGCCGGACTGCAGGCAGGGGCAGAAGCCTTCGTTGGGGGGATAGTCCGTGCCGTTGGCAAAGAGAGTCTTTGGTGCCACGAAGCGATAGGTGGGCACACCCTTGAACTTTCCAGACTGCTCGTACACCAGTGTCATGGATCTGGAAGGGGTTTAGTGGAGAAGGAACAGGATTAGCCAACAGCTTCCCAGCGCAGAAACGGGCTCTTATCTTCGCTGGATAAGATGCAGTTGCAATGTAACTTAGACTTTGAGATGAAGATAAGCACTCAGAGCAATGCTTTAGATGGGGAATGAGTATTTAAGCCATTTGCTTTTCATGTTTTAAGCACAGATAAAAGGTTGGTTGGGACTAGTTACGGAGAGAAGCCACAGGCTTCTAAGTTTGTCTGCAGTATTCAGATGAGATCTGTTTCAAGGCACATAGTAATCCCCAGGGCTGCTCTCCAAGAGATAATACCCTCTTTTGTGCAATCCCTGGCTCCGAGGTGCTCTGTCACAGGGGGTGGACACTGGCCAAATCTCTTTTTGCAGCACAACTCCAGCATAGAGGCTGTCAGGAGAGTGCAAAAATGTCAACACATTACGTACCAAGATTTCTTTCTTGATACAACAGGTTAGTGATGTTATGCTGTGTTACTGTACCAGCTGGCCAGGACAGATGCACGTTTCCAAGAGGGGAGTTTGCTCCCTTCACACTCAAGTGAGGCTTGCAGGGATACAGACAGCCTGGGCAGGCCAAGTGGATGTTTATTCCTGCAGCTGCCTTCCAGCAGTTATGTTCCTGCCTCTGCTGTGCTCACCCTCTAGCAAGGGGACGGAAGCTGCTGCAGCACATGAGCAGGATGAAGCTTTGACTACCTTGAAGGGACATCCAAGTAGCTGCATCTCAGCATCAGCTGCACTTATTTTGCAAACAGCACAGGACATGAGCCATGCCATGCCATTGCCTGCCCTCAGCTGCATGCCCTGCAGCCAAGCAGAAATGCTCTTAGTCTACCAACTGATGTTTGCAGACAGCTGGGCTAGAGGAGAGGATGAGAGATGTGGGGAGAAGAGGCACAGCCACTTCCCCTACAGCACTGTCCTGCAGGAACAGCCTGCACCAACAAGAAACCAAGCTTGGTTTCCTCCACTTCCCTTCATGACTTGCCTGGAAACACACTCTGTTCCTTAGATTTCTGTGGTTCCACAGAAACGGGTATGTGCATTTAAGCTTTGATTGATTGCTGGTAAAAGTCCCTGTAAGTCCTTGGCTCCGGGTCATTTTAGCATTTGCTGATGTCCCTTGTGTAGAGGAATTCCTGCACTAATACTTGGCTCAGCTAACTTTGCTCACTCAGCTGAAGAGGTCATTGTTCTCAATTCAACATGAGCACTTGCTTGTTTTGCAGCACTATCTGCAAAGCCCGAATTAACATTATCTTCTCCGAGCTGGGGACAGGGTTTTGTGCCACCACCTACCTCCTGGCCTCCCTCCTTCCAGCCTCAGGGAGTTTCCCCACCGGTGGGCTCCACGGGGTGCTTTAACCCCTGTGTGATCAGCTAAGGTCAGGGTGTCTCACACAGCAGTGCGTGAAGCAGGCAGCAAAAACCCAAACAAGCAGCAGCCTGGAAGTGGTGGCACAAGCCCTGCCCCACCCCCACCCCAACTTCAGTCAGCTGAAACAGTTCCACAAAGAGTTATAGCTGCATTTCCTCATGACAACTCTTACTTCTCCCTCTCACCTCCTCCATCTTATCTAGACTGGTTGTTTCCTACTGATCCAAGAGGGGCACGTTAGACTTCTCCAGCGACCTGGAAGGTATTTATGAACACCACAAGACACTACTGAGACAACGACACTGTTTGCAAGCTCAGACACTGCAACACTGAACTGCAGCTGAACTTCTAACCACAGGAACACGTCCCATGTCCTCTGTGTCACTGCACAGATGAGAGCTGCACCTCCTGCCACCTGCACCAGGACAAGCTGGCAGCTGTGGCCTCACCTACAGGCATCAGGGCTGTAGAACTCCAGCGACGTTGGGGACATGAATGGTGGCCACATCTCCCCCGAGGTCCCATTGATCATGTTGCACTCGCTGCTCCGCCAGTAGTTCACCTACAGGACAGGTGCAGGGGGAAGAGCTCAGAATGGTGAGCTTGCTGGAGAGATGGTCTCCACCACTCTACACAGCTTCCATAGGAGCCTGAGATAGCAACACTAAAGAGCTTCCAAGATCTTTCCCATTCAGTGCTAAATTAATGGAAAAATCAGGACAAGATCCACCTGTCCCAAGTGTTCCCACAGTGGTTGACCTGTGGATTCACTTGATTTTAGGCAGGAGTAGAACTCCACAAGGTAAGAATAAGCACCCCTTTAACAAGAGTACTTCAAGTAATGCCTTATACAGAGGCCACAGGAGCCTGGGACTTCAGCCATTGGAAGCAATCAGCTCCAACAGCATTTCAAAGGAGTCCAAGTGACACCAATGACAAGCTGCACTGAATGCTTCCTGAGAAGCCTCTTATCAGATGACTGTCTTCTGGCAATCTGCTGGAACAGAAGTTGCAGCAGTTGAAGTCCTCTGGAAGCTTGCCTTCAGGTCTACCATGGAGAGGTACAACAGCACTGAGGTCTTTCAGTTTATCTTGCTTTAGATCAGGCATTGCCCTGTATCAGAGGTTCACTGCTCAACACTTACCTTCTTTAGTCCATTCCAGGAATCCACCATGTGCACTTTACTGATGTCCTTCATGCCCGTGTTCACTGTGAACAGCCCCGAATTGGAGTTGTTCACCTGCAGAGAAAAGAAACTAACTTTTAGTCCATTATTTGACAGCAACATGGGAATGACTTTGTGTACTTTGTCAGTTCCAGGGGTGATTCATGCAGGAAGCTATGGGAACTTCTATTTCAGTTGCCAGCAACAGCTTCCAACACACATATTTCTAGCTGAGGGGAGGATTAGGACACCCTTACACAACCATCACCAGCTACACACGGTGGTTCCAAACAGTCTGTGCTGTGACTTTAGTGTTCCCAAGCAGCAGTTTACTTACCTCTGCAAATAAGCCAAATTTTCCTTTGAAAGGGATCAGGCCAGGAACAAGTGCATTTATTGTGTCTATAAGAGGGTCTTCATAGCCCCACATGATCTCCCTCACAGTCCTGTTCATGAATGCCTGTTGCTTCAGGCCAGCCAGGGCTCCACTCAGTAAAAGCTTCATAAAGTTTGGCAGGTCTTCCATCATTACAGCTGCTCCCTGGGAAAGAGAACAAGCCTCTGAGATGAGTGCCCAGTCTTTACTAAAGAAGTAGCAATGCATCTCTGGTGCTCAGCAAAGTCCCTCTGCTGTACTGCTCTGCAGTCCTGGAGAAATCCTCTGGACAAGCTGAAGTTCAGCATTTATCACCAGTTTGGGAAGAAAGAAGCTGAGGCTTCGTTTCCCAAGAGGCTGCTCAGACAAGGCTGTAGGCTCAAGCCCAGCTGTTTTGCCAGCCCCTCTGCACACTGATTTTGGAAAGGTACCAGCCCACCATGACAACCAGCACCCAGAAAGCAGAACACTGTGTTTTGTAAGCTTAACCCACCTCGCAGCCTCATTAGCCTTAAGCTCTAGAAGAAAGTAAGCTTTGAGTCAGCATGTGGCATCGTGGCCCTCCTGGGAAGCTCAGGAGCTGGTCCCCATCCCCAGAGGGAGCTCTTACCATCAGCAGAATGTTGGGCACCACCACGTACTCGTCTTCCGTGCCGTTGGACATGTCCGGCTGGAAGAAGAGCTGCCGGTACTCCAGGAAGGAGACTGTGTCATTGTCATGGAAGGTGATGTTGGTTTTATACCTGAACTCCCTGCAACGAGATGGCAGAGAGGATGGCAGAGAGGATGGCAGAGAGGATGGCAGAGAGGATGGCAGAGAGGATGGCAGAGAGGATGGCAGAGAGGATGGCAGAGAGGATGGCAGAGAGGATGGCAGCCTTCCCCCAGTGCCCCCCCAGAGCCTGTGCAGCACGGCTGGGCTGCACCGGCCTGGCCTTGCTCCTGAGGAGCAGGAGATGAAGCCCAGCAGGAAGCCCTGGGACAGCAGAGGAAGGGCTGGTGTCAGCCTCACCCCCGACCAGGGTTTGGGTCTAGCAGGAGGAGGTGGCAGCCTGGGAGAGGCACCCCTGACAGATGGGAGCCTGCAGCAACGGGCAGGCACCAGGAGCTTCATCCCAGCCACGAAGGGGCCGTGATGCTCCACAGCAGCACCAGGCTGAGCCCAACAGCAGAAGCCTGTTCCAGCTCCCGAGGGAGCTGCAGCTCCACTCACCAGCAAAAACAAAGTCCTTTATTGTGAAGCCTCTGTTTTATGGCCCACGCAAGGGAAGGGCACTAATCTCACCAAGCACGAACACTTTACCCCTTTGTTTATTCATGTTTACAGTAAGTGAACCCTTTTCCCCACGCCAAGTGAGTGATGCAACCACAACATACAGAATCCACACCATCTTCTGGTGTGACCTGGCAAGCCCAGAGGAAACAAGGGCATATACACACTGCCAGGTTTCCCGCCAACGCTGCTCCAACAGCTTTGGATTAAACCACTAATCTTCCCACATGACCTTTGTTTATTCATGTTTACAGTAAGTGAACCCTTTTCCCCACGCCAAGTGAGTGATGCAACCACAACATACAGAATCCACACCATCTTCTGGTGTGACCTGGCAAGCCCAGAGGAAACAAGGGCATATACACACTGCCAGGTTTCCCGCCAACGCTGCTCCAACAGCTTTGGATTAAACCACTAATCTTCCCACATGAACTTGCTAAGGCTGCTGACCTGGCTTTCCCTACAT